CTCTCTCTCTCTCTCTCTCGTGTAATGAATAACAATAGTGTAATAAGTATGGGAAATATAACATATGCTTTAGTGCATTAAGTATTTTGTACTGAAAGTGCTTTATTAATCCTTTTTAAAATCTCAAAAAGCATAATATTTAAAGGATTAACAAAATTATTACTTAATTAGTCATTTGATTCTCTTGTTTGGCATACATTTCACACAATTATAAACTTATATTTATATTTGTAGTTAATATTTACCAAAACACTTTAAAACTAATCAAAATGTTTTATAAGGCAATAGTTTTGTGTGTATTGTATGCGTGTCTGACCGATGGTTACTTCAGATGTCCGAAACAACGCCTAATAAATCCGTGTAAATGTTATCCAAACACAAAAGAGATTCATTGTATCGGCAATCGTATCGATGACGAGGCGTTGGCCAGAATCGGACCCAACATTAAAACTCCCGTCAATCACAAGAGATTTAAATTGATGTATATTTTCAATACTAATGTCACAGAAATACGTGAAAATGTGTTCCCGTCGGCCAAGTTTGAGAACTTGTATCTCAATAGAAACCTAAACCTGAGATACGTTGAGTTAAAAGCCTTTAACAAGAAGTCCATAAAGAATCTAATTATTGGAAATCATCCCAATTTAACTATTGTCTAATTTGTGTGCATAAATAATTTACTTTTGTTTAATGTATTAATCAATTCTATTTATATTGTTATAAAATTAAACATTTTGTAATTCAAAATTAAATATTAATAAAGCAATTAAAAATTGAATTTCTAAAAAACTCAATAAATTTCAATGTTGAGAAACTAACATATGCTAAAAGTTAATGATAAGAATATTTTAACATCAAAAGTATAGACTAATAATTATATTAATGTGATAATAAATTCACTCACGTAATGAATAACTTACACTAAACTAACCTATTTTTATTTATGATATCAATACTGATATCATTTTATAAATTAAGTTAATAAAATTATTATTGTCTGACTTTTTTTATACAAAAAACTAGACATATGGAACTCTATTTTGCTTTTTACAGATTTGATCTAGCTCATTTAGTTTAAGAGTTATTTAAATTCCCGAGGCGCATAAGATTGGCCGATTAGATACTATCATATTAGTGTTCATATTTAAATATTGGCATAATTTTAATAGGCATCATTGCAATCAATATTGGTATCAATATAAAAACATCATTTTTAATTTTTGTAAGATAGCAAAGTATTTATTATAAGTTCAAGGTAAATATTTTATTATTGCGTAAAAATACAACTACAAACTATAGTATTAAAAGAGTACTAAAATTTTAGTTAAAATTTATGACAGTTTACAAAAGTTGTTTACAGTTATATAACTTGGTTTATAACCAACAAATGAGAACATAGGATACATAGATACATGTATATCTATTATACATAATAAATTTCTAATTTATAAATCTACTTTATCAATTAAGTTTAATTCAGTTATCAGTAATTTTAATAATTAAGTAATGCATGTGAATAAACACAACGAATAAATGTGTTTATAAGTTATAAGTTATAACTTTCCATTCAATGTTTAGAGTCTCGTAATAAGGAAATAAAGATACTATAAAGCATTTCTTATAATATTTCGTATAAATGATTGAGAAATGATTTTTATACAAACATATTATAACTAAACTCGTTAAATAGAGATACAATTAAGTTATAATTATTTGTTATAACCAATTGTTTAAAATGAGAGTATATTTATTGGTATCATTATTTGCATTTATTTTGTGCATTCAATCAATCAATTGTTCCCTAAATGATCGTTTAGACTGTTATCTCGAATGTATGCAAAAATTTTAATAAATTATTTTCAATTAATAACTAATAATTGATTGAAACAATTATTTGAATTAAATAACAGATGACTTTAAAGTGGATCAGAAGTCGTGCGAAGAGAGGGGTTGTGTTTGGGACGGAGAGAAGAGACCAGAAGGCGTTCCCTTTTGCTATTTAGACCCCAAAAGAGTTGGCTATAAACGGGTGAATATGAAGAATACGACGACTGGTGTAGACATTGATCTCCAGCTTAAAGACACGTCTCGTCGGACACTGAAAAAGATACCACAAATTGAAAGCCTTAGGGTTGAGGTCTCTTTCCTAACCGATCGTATACTTCGGGTCAAAATCGTTGACACAAACAGTTCTCGATATGAAGTTCCCGTTCAAAAAGAGTTTCCACTTCTCAATCAAAATGCTATTCAATTCAAAGGTAATCAACGCTATTATGATCTAGAAGTTAGTGATAGTAAAGATGACTTTACTTTTGCTATCACTCATCAAAGTAGTAAAACTAAAATGTAAGCAAAAAATTCTTTTTTTACTGAAAACCCTATTTTTAAAAAATTAATTTAAATATAGATTTGACACATCGATCGGTGGTCTTATATATAGCGATCAATTGCTTCAAATCGCAACTCATTTACCGACAAAAAATGTCTTTGGATTGGGAGAGAATACACACCATTCACTCAGACATGACTTTTCCAAGTATAAGACATTTGGGGTTTTCAGCAAAGATCATCAAACAGGAGAGGTATGTCTATTACTATTATTTTTTAACATTATTATAGCATCTAATTGTGATATCCTTTAGAAGTTAATGTGTTCTCAATTTATACTTCATTATAGGAACAAATCAATTACTATGGCGTCCATCCCTTCTATACGTGTCTGGAAAGTGACGGCAAATCTCATGGAATTCTTCTCCTCAACAGCAATGCTATGGGTATTCATAATATGTTTATTTTATGAAAATATTATAAATATTAATTATATACTAATTAATAAGTTGTTTAACAAACTCCTATTTCCTACAGACTATACAACACTTCCAGAACCGGGTTTATCATTCAGGACAAGCGGTGGTGTAATTGACTTATTTATGTTTATCGGCGATAATCCGGAACATGTCATTCAATTGTATACATCACTCATCGGTCGACCAATTTTGCCACCGTTTTGGGCACTCGGATACCAACTGACCCGTTGGGGCTTTAATGGCACGGATAATGTGCGACAAGTAATTGATCGCAACATTAAAGCCAAAGTTCCACTCGTATGACAACTAATACATTGAAAAGTTTAAATAAGTTGTTATAAGTACTGAATATATTATTTTTTTGTAAAGGATGTGATGTATTTGGACATCGATTATATGGATCAATACCACGATTTCTCTTATGATAAGAAACGATTTGCAAAATTACCGGAACTGATAGACGAAACCAAATCAAAAAATAATCTTCACTGGACTCTGATTCTGGATCCGGCCATTGAAGCCGTAAAACAAGACAATCCGGCGTTTGAAGACGGATACAGTAAAGACGTGTTCATTAAATGGGATCCAAGTGTACCTAAAAAGGATAGGTATAACCCACCGGAAGCGCCTTCCGATCGGGACGTGATATACGGCAAAGTATGGCCCAGAGGTCCGGCGGCTTTCCCCGACTTCTTCAAGAATGTCACTCACGAGTGGTGGCAAAAATGGGTCACATATTTACACAATGATCTCAACGTTAAGTTTGACGCCCTTTGGATCGTATGTATAAACCTATTGTTTTATATTTTTAACTCTTGTAATTTTCCGCAGGACATGAATGAACCCTCAAATCTCATTGATAAGGGATATATTTGTCCCAAAAATAAATATGATTACCCCGATGTGAGAATAAGTAAGTGTTGTTAATTAATAAGCTATACGTTTAAAATGTGTTATTCTGTTTGAAGAGCCACTCTATGGTAACGATAACGCCAGATATTTGAGTGAAAAAACCATTTGTATGCTCACACGACAGGGAGATAACAATGAGTTACTTCACTATAACGTACATTCATTATACGGTTGGTCGGAACTAATTGCCACACAAAAGTAATTTTGACTATTTATTATTTTTAACCATTTTAATTTATCATTATTAATAATAATCTATACTCACAGAGCAATACATGCGGCGACAGGAAAGAGAGGTTTTGCTGTCTCGCGGTCCACATATGTCTCTTCGGGCAGATATGGGACGCATTGGTTGGGAGACAACGCCAGTCAATGGCCACACATGAAGTACTCAATCATCGGAATCTTGGAATTCAATTTGTTTGGCATTAGTTTTGTAATTAGTTTTTTTGTTATCAATTCTGTTTAATTTATTACTTATTATAATACTTGTATATTAATGAATAGGTTGGACCCGACATTTGCGGTTTTGGTGATAACACTACACCTGAGCTCTGCAAACGGTGGCACCAATTGGGGGCCTTTTATCCATTTAGTCGCAATCATAACGCAATCGGTAACATAGATCAGGACCCGGCTGTTTGGATAGAGAGGGGTCATCCGGAGGTTACCGAAGCTGCGATTAACTCATTGGGATTGAGATATAAATTGTTGCCATATATGTACACATTATTTTTCAAAGCTCATACAATTGGTCAGACAGTGGCCCGACCCGTGTTTCATGAATTCCCCACCGATAGTAACACATATGGTATTGACGAGCAGTTTATGTTAGGGTCAGCTCTACTCATATCACCATTTCTTTATCAGGTATTCAATTATTTAATAATTATTTTGTAAAATAATTAATAATTAATTTTGTGATCAGAATCAAAGCCAAGTGAAGGCTTATCTGCCAAACACTGTCTGGTATGAAATGTCACCCAATATTAGTAAAGTGTCCAAAACTGGTTACATTATCATTGATGATAACAAACACGGTATACCACCCGTCCATCTGAGGGGTGGATCCATAATACCCGTGGCATCGGATTACCCGCACGTAAACACAATTACCATAAGGAATGGTAGCATTAATTTGTTGGTATTGCCCGACGCCTCCCATTCCGGTTCGGGTGACTTGTATTGGGACGACGGCGACAGTATTGACACTACAGGCAAAGCTCTCTATAATTATTATTCATTTGTTTTACACAAAAACTGTTCACTGGATATAAATGTCGTTCAAAATAACTATAAAACAAATCAAATTCTGGAATCCATTCAAATTTATGGCACAAATGGAGATACAGTGAGCGCAACACTCGATGGACAGACCGTCACTGATATCACTGTTCATCAAAAGATGATTAAAATGAATGCTAAGATTGACTTAAAGTCAAAGACAAAGGGAAACAAATGGACAGTTGTATGGAAATCAACAAAAACTAATTTATGTAACTTTGAATAATTACAACAAACTTTTAATTGAATTTTTGTGTGCTTTTAAACACAAATCTAATGAATAAAATTACAGAAAATTAAATAATAAATTACTTTTCAATTGAAACAATAATTTAATAATAAATAAATTAGTAATTAATGGATTACAAAACAGTGAATGCGGGCAAAACATGTCATTCAATGTAACACTACCTACGGTTACAGTCGACAAACCCGGCGCCGCCTAAAAAGCCCCAACAGATATTGGAGAACAGGTATATCTTAACAGGTCTTTGAGTAGTTTTTGTGGTCTCTGGTGGTGGGGTTGTCGTGGTTGAGGCTGTGGTTGCGAGAGGTGGGGCTGTGATCTTTGATGGTTTGGTGGCTGGGAGTGGGGTTGTGATGGTGTGTACAACAGTGGTCTGTACAATAGGCGACACGGGTTTGGTGTAGTTAGTTATGTTGAGCTGAATGGGAGCTGTCACATTTTTGCTAGTTTTATGCGCTGTCTCTTTAATCCACTGGATGTGCTCCTTATCTGCCAATTGATCCGCATTAATGTTCACCTGTACTACGGGTGCCGCCACTTGGCTTAGGTGCTTTTTATCTATAACGCATAGAAATCATTATCTATTTATCAAGTCTTAGTTAGAGTAATAGTTGTTTTGGTAAATTGTGAACATTATTCAATTGGTTAAATAAATAAATAATGAATTGAAAATTATATTTCAATTTGAAATTTACTATAAATTAAATTAAAAATGAGATAATTTATTATTCTGTTCACAATATACAAGAAAGTATGAGTTTATAAGAAAATCACTAAATACTAACCGTGAAAACAACAGGCGATATGAGATTCACGACAATTGATGGATAAAATCAACGGTTCCTTCACTAAAGAGCTCATGAAGAATGCCTGTCGCGTGTCGTTTACCGATCGAAATGTTTTAATCATTTTTCCCTTCTTTAGGTCACATATGAGGCCAGTCTTAGTACACCCGACGGCCACACATGTGGGGAAAGCGTGTCGACCAACCATTGCATCCTTTACTACAGATACTAATGAATGAACAAATAAAAATACTAAAATGTGCAAAAAGTATTTTACATGTTCCAAATAAATATCTCAATATTTAAAACTATCAAACTATTTATAATTAATTATTAATAGAATTTACAATTAAAATTCATAAATTAAAACATGATGATCGAGTTATTCATACCTTTAATGTAATCATGAGTTCCACTCAAGACATACTGTTCTCTATGCGTAAAGTCGGCTGAAATTAACAAATTCTTGCCATCGGTTAGACTTAACGACACATCTATTAAATAATTGATGATTAAAATCGTGATAATTACTGATTGTATAAACATTTTATTAATAAAACTTTCCATTTATATTTAAAATGAAAAATATATGTGCAGTTTGAGTGCACAACACAAATAAATACTACTTTTAATAGTCATTTCAATCACAGGTAGACGTGATAAGGAAGTGATGAGTGTTAAAACGGTTTATGGGATTAAAGTTGCCAAAAATCCCTAAAGCTTTGCGTTTGTATCAAATCCGCAATCGATATTAAAAACTACAATATTTTAAAATAAAAGTTAAATATTTTAAAATGAAGGTTAACTGTAAATATTTTATTGCTACTTTTTGCATCAAAAAGTAATACAGTGCAACTTCTCTTGGGTGAACTTCTCTTGGATGAACACCTCCCTTAGATGAACGGTTTTAAAATATATTTTGGATTTTCTATACCTATGACAGAACCTCCCTTGGATGAACCCTCCCTATAATAAACATTTTTGTCGTGCAACTGGCCGTTCATTATAGAGAAGTTGCACTGTAGTTTTAAAATCAAAATTTACATTTTATTTATAAACATGCATCTTATTATTGAATTTTATTTAATACATTACAATTTTACCGAGCAAATCCGATATATATTACAATAATTAATATTGATAAAATTGGGTAAATAAAAAACTTTATATAATTAAATAAATCGACTTTAAATGCATTCAAAATACACTTATACTGTAAAAACAAAATCCGAAATTCAAAGGTCTGGAGAGCGGGAGTAATAGAGCCGTACGTCTCAATGGTAGCCACTGTTTGACTGCATATTTGTCTTAATTTTCTGCACGTATTCATTGATAGTACGGTTAGTGATATTCCGTATATAAAAATGACCATGATGATCATATCGTATAATTGCCATTTATTTGTTGCAAAAACGTATGCAATCATTACAAGTGTTTTAAATACAATTATATAGAAAATTTGAAAATTCCTGTAAATAATCTCTAAATCTCTTGTATTTGTCGAAATGTCTTTAAACCTATTATTCGCCGAGAAAATATTTTTTAAACATATAATTAGTTATAAAGTATACATAAAATTCTCTTAAATATTAAGTTTAACAATTAAACTTACCTAATGCAAACAACTCTCATCGCATCCACAGCTAGATCATTGCAATTGAGGCAATTCTGGACATAATCTTTTAGGCATTTGAATTTTAAACTCAAAACAATAAATAGTTTACAAAATAATATGAAAATACAAGAAATATAAACGACATTATTAGCAGTGAGAATATAAAAGAGATGATATAATGTCTGTTACCATCAAAACAATAGACACACAGATAAATACATACAATCCATAATAATTGATATATTACTGACAGCACATTAAATCCGTATTTCATTAATTTGTAAGAAGGATCAGTTTGAGGCCAAACTCTGTTTGTTGGCTCCAATTGCAAGTCGGGTTTAAAAATACGATTTAATATCTCTTGGAGCCGATTTTGGTATAAATACAGTGTATTTAAAATGACAATTGGGGTAAAATTCCAGATAATGGCCGTCAGCACTCCCACGACAAGACTGCTATTAACTTCCCGTCCATTTCTGCTGTTAATTATGTATATCATAACAATATTCACCACAAAAGCCATATGAATGAATTTCCAGCACATAAATCGCTTCCAATACATGGCATACTTCTGATTGGATCTATTGTTTTCATTTCCTTCTTTAAGACAATTATTGAGTGGAAAACCAATGCTTATAAGAAACTCGACCATCAGTTTTGTAATGAAGTAATTTTTGCTGTAAATTGTGTCCACTTCTGGATCTATTGGAGTTGTGATTATCACCGAAGGATTGCTATCTTTCTTGTGATTGAAAGCCATTGTAGTCATCGCACAATCGTTAGACATCTAGATATTGTTAATTTAGTCGTCAATTCACTCAATCTTCTCCTAAAACACTATATTAAAGTCAAAGTGTTATAAACTTTTATACTTTGTTTGATGCAAATATAAATGTAATTTTATTAACCAATCACTTTATTAGTTAAATGCATGGCAACTGTGAATTGATGCTGAAATCTAAGATTTGTTTAAGTTTTAAATGAATTTTATTTTTATGTTATCTCAGATTGTTTTGAATATAATACACTGTGAAAGTTGACTGATTGACAAATTGTTGTAAATTTTTACATCTTTACATCTACTAATAGTTTAATATTGCATTTCCTCTAATAAATTGTCATAAGATTTATAATCCGATACCATAACAGACATTACCATGGTCATCATTTATAGTGCATTCATTTTTAGTAATACAAGCAATGGATTAAATATTTGCTCCTGTTTTCATTCATTCATTATTACATAACCATTCATAGTATTAAATGTTTACAAATATTTGAAAGTAATTTTACAAAAACATTAATAATTGATAGTTTCACAGCATTCTCTTTATATAACATATAAACAAATGAATTTTATAAATCATATTTATTTAATACATTAAAACAAGTTGTATCAACCATTTTACCAAACAATTTGAAAGTATTAAATCAGCGAAAATTAAACCAATTTTTATTATTAACTAATTAAATAACAATAATATGTGTTTCAATTTTAATTAAAGTACTCTTCAATGAACATAATTGTAATCATGTGTTGTATCTCAAGGGGCAGTCAATTACAAGAAACATAATTAAACAATTTTTGAATGCATATTGAAATACAAAACAATTAAAATCACATCCACTGTGCAGTGCATAACAGCCAATTGCATATCACAATAATTATCATAATCTCATATCAATATTAATACAGTAATAGAAATTCTAATAATATAATAAAAACATAAATTTACAGACAAATAGTAAGTGACAAACCATTTTAAATAACAATTGTGCAACACATGGATCGAGAGGTATGTGTGGATAGGCATGGAATGGGTGTATGTAATCAAATATACGGGTCATACCTGAGCTCAACCACAAACGGCATGACATCGAGAGTGGGGTCTGCAATGAACTCGTGGTTGACTTCGGGAACGCCCTGATCTGTGGTATGACTGTTAAGACATATGATACCGCGCGGGCCATACATACCGGCCAACACATCCTCCGTGAGTGGACAGCCGCCCAACAGACGGGGATAGAGATCAACGATTGAGTTATTGGTCACACCGTAAGAGCGAAGAGTATTCATGTCGAACATAAGCCGATGTGAGCGCATCAGCTTCTGGGACCGGACGGCGATGCCTTCCAAGCGGTGGATCCGGCGCTTCAGCTGCTGAACAGTGTTGTCGGCGCCGATCGTAATCTCGTAAAAGTCTTGAAGTCGTATCTGACGACTGTTGACGCCTTCAATATATTTGGGCAGTTTATCGACGCCTTCATTGCCTTCAAACGGGTATTCAATTTCCGGATTATGAGCGGCCGGTTCTGGCGGTTGTGCCGCTTGTGGGCGCCGTCTGTGCCGCACATATAGTCGCATGGGTTCGGCCAACAGCTCGAAGGGCTGCTCCACCCGAACGGTAAACCAGATAACCGACGAACCTCTGGCCGCCTCTTCGGTGTCCACTTCCCGTCGCTCCGCAATGCGATCCAACAGTCGTTGCGTCGATCGCAGCGATTGTGACTTAACGTGCAATCGATAGCCGTTGGGTTCGATGGACTTGTGCTCACAGTGGTCGCCGGCCCGCAGATAGTGTGTGCACAAGTAGTTTTGGGTCAATTTGATGGTATACTCGATGTCACGCTTGCAATCCGTGTTATCGACGCTCACTTCGAGTTCGGACTCGTCGAGCGGGAAGTGGCCGACGAACAGCACGTGTCGGTTGTGGTCGAGGCGTCCGTCGGGTCCGCGACCGACGCCGGCCTTCAATTGAAGCGGTCGTCGGTTTCGGGTGTTTGGCATCAACTGTCGGACACTAACACGAGTGCCAAACGGGTAACAAATCCATTGGCGATCGTCGCTCACAAACGGTGACATCTGT